TTAAGGGGTTAACAAGTTAGACTCTGGAAGTAAGGACAAAGAGAAGAGGGGCTAACTCCCAAGTTTCTAGCTTAGAAAACTAAACAGATAGTGGTACAGTTCCCCAAGATAAGGAATATAGAAGAGAACTGGGTTTGGGGGAGTAGACGATTAATTTTGTACACGTTTAGGGTATTGCCTGTGGGACATCCAAGTGGAAATGTCAAAGATGCAGAAAGAAATACGAGCCTGAAACCTAACAGAGATAGAAAACCAGTACTCAGGGGTGTGCTAGTGATAGCCGGAGCTGGGGTCTGGATGAGATCACCAGAGAGAGAGTGAAGGGTGGGAGGATGGAGGGTTACCAGCCCCGGGGAGCACTAGCATGTGAGGGTCAGCGAAAGGATGGAGAGCCAGCCAAAGAAACCAAGTAGAAGTTGTCTGTGAACTTAACAGGAGAGCAGTTTTCAGGTGAAAGGACTCCCCATCTTCCACAAGTGTCTTTGACATAAGCTCCAGCTTCATAAGAGCAGCCATGAAGATCTTCAGAGCTTGAGGTCTCTGCTCTAGAATCATGCTGAAACCAGACAAGGGATGAAAATACTACCTAAAACTAGGCAGGACACAAAGGGCATGGCTGCATTCAGGATACTGAGTCAAATCAATGTGAATTATAGTGGTAGAACTAGAACTATATAAAAGAAATTGGTCATATGGAACTCTGCTCATTGTTGTGGCAACTTGGATGGGAGGGGAGTCTGGGGGAGAACAGATACATATATAGGTATGGCTGAGTCCCTTCGCTGCTCACCTGAAACTACCACAACATTGTTAACCAGCTATACCCCAATACAAAATAAAAAGTTGATTATCAAGCATGGTAGAAAAGTCTTTGTACACATATTTATAAATAATATGTACAATATATATATTTTAGAAAACATGAATGTTTGCCTAACTAAAAAAATTTATGACATTTGATTCCACTTGTTTGACTTAGTATGAATAGAATGGTAGATTTCTAATTTAAAAAACAGATATGCAACAAGCAACAAAGGTTTACTGTATAGCTCGGAGAGCTATAGTCAATATCTTGTAATAACCTATAATGGAAAATAATTTCAAAAATAATATATGTGTATATGTATAACTGAATCTCCTTGCTGTGTACCTGAAACATTGTAAGTCAACTCTACTTCAATAAAATATATATATTAAGAAAATAATTTTTTAAAGAAGTGGGAAAAAATAAATAAAAAGTAAAAAAAGAAAGAAATTGGTTAAGGTATTACATGGAACAGATTATTTAAGTCTGACAAGGCATTCAGAAAGCAGTCATGGGAGCAACTGCTATGCTGAATATTCTCCTCTGAAGACAGAGAGGAAGGACTGCAAAATCTCTCTCTGAGAAGCCTCCCCTGCCTGAGGAAGCCGGCTTCACGCAGCTGCCCAGGTTTGGGAGCCCGGGGCTGCTTCCCAGCCAGGGGCTGCCAGCTGCAGAGGGCGGGGCTCTATTTCGGGCTGCCTGTTGTCCCTGAGCCGGCCGCCTCTGGTTTGAGCAGCAGGCAGCCCCAGTGACTCACACGCCCATGCAAACCGCCTGTGGCTCGTGGCATGGCCTCGGAATGCCAGCCTTAGGCCAGCTCCCTCCTCACCCCATTACACTGGGATAAATAAATAAAGAGCACGCCAGCAGCCGCACGGCCTGATGGCAACCAGATGAAGAGAGGGAGGCACCGACAGAGCCAGGAGAAGGAACTCCCTCCAGTGGACCCTGCTGAGCGAGGGCCATGCCAGCCCACTCATCCTAAACTTCCTCCTCAACACCGTTCTGACTGGCGTGTAGTCACAGCCCCCAGATCCTTGATGGGTATACCATTCCTAAAGGGGCCTCTCAGCCCCTCGTCCTAGGAAATGCTCTATGTGGGGATGTTGCCCTCTGCGAGAACAGGGCCAGCCCTGACTTGAATGGGCATTGCCAGGATTCCTCCTCTAGTTAGGTCACCATCGATTGGCCCCTTTGGGGTCCCTGGAAATGAAAATCAGGCTCTTAAGGGAAGAGGAAAAACAAAAGGTCTAAATATGGAGAGGTAACCCCTGTTCAATCCTTACATATTTTTCCTGGCCTTAGTGTCCTAGAAACCTCCCATCCACTGCCCCCTGCACCCTATCTCAATGGCCTCTTGCCTAGCAACAGTCCCAGTGAGAACCAGGAAAACAGACCCCAGGCACTGACCGCACAGCCCTCTGACATAGGCCCTGGGCCCCTGCACCTTCATCCCAAGCTCTCTGTCCCCAGTTTGTTTATCTTCCTATGTTGCTTATTTTGATGGCACATCCTTTCAGCTCAGTCTTGGGTGACCCTATGACCCTTCTGTGTCCTGTTTGTAGGACCCCAGGCAAGCAGAGTTGCTGAAAAGATGCAGTGGCCAGAAGAAATGCTGCAGTCCTGGGAAGAAATCTTTCAGTTCTAGCAGCTCTGTAGGACATTCTGAGGACAGTGCAGTGATCCCAGAGGTCACAAGAATTCTACATTATTCCAGTCCTTGACTCTCTAATTTGTGTGCACAACAAGTAAAAGTATGAGTCAAGAAGTGTGGATAGTCCTAAACCTACAGCTACCACCATACGACCTTAGGCAAGTCACTTAACCTTTCTGAGGCCCAATTTCTTTTATTTTATTTATCTATTTATTTGGCTGTGTCAGGTCTTAGTTGCAACATGCTCTATGGAATGTGGGATCTCTGTTCTCCAACCAGAGATCGAACCTGCATCCCCTGCATTGTGAGGCAGATTCTTAACCACTGGAGCACCAGGAAAGTCTCTGAGGCCCAATTTCTTAAACAATGAAATGGAAATCTACTATCTATCTCAGATCCTTTCCAGATATAATAAAACTCTACAAGTCTATGCAGTTTGGATGTGATCCACCCAGAATCTAGAGGACCAGTATTCCTGAAGCAGTTGGTTCCAAAACACCAATCTCCTTCCTGGGCTAACACCTGTTTTCTACATGATTTCTCATTCAGTTCCACAGTGTTCCCCCCACCCCGATAGTGTGAAATGAGCCTCCAATTTTACAAATGAGAAAATAGAGGCCCTGAGAGAAGTGATTTATCAAAGCCACAAAATAAATCAGAAGAAAAACTGAAGATCCCAAATATGTGTCTAACAAGCAACACTGGATCCACAGCCCACACAGCCACAATTTTCATAAAATCCCTCTAGCATAGGTTTATCAACATATTCACCCACAAACTCATCGAGAGCCTATTACTTCCAGGCACTATGTTTGGTGCTGGGAACATGGAAACACATTTAACATGGTTTCTGCCCTCAAAGAGTCCATAGCTCAGTGGAAAAAGACATACTCTTCCAAGCATACAAACAGCATCATTATGAAGCTATAACTGCTAAAAACTAGAGGCATGAACCCAGGCACTATCATCTCAGGAAAGGATTATCTTTACAAGGACAATCTGTAAAGGTCTCCCAAAGAAGTTGAAGCTGACACTTGAAAGATTAAAAGAAGTTCACAAGGGAGAAAAGACCAGGGCACTGGGCATTCTAGATAAAGGAACAATGTGTGGAGAGACACAAAGGCGAGAGAAAACAGCATTTTTGGCAATTCAAATCCATTCTATATGACTGACGCATAAAATATACAGAAAAAAAAATGCTGAGAAACCAAGCTGAATAGGTATGCAGGCACTAGATAGGAAGGGACCTCCCTGATGAGCTAAGAATAAGCCTAACATTGTTTGACTAAAAGGCTGAGGCATGGAACAAGTATGCCATACCAGCCTACATTAACCTCGTTAATACCTAAACCTATAGACAGGAGAAGCTATCTGAAAGAAAAATGGCCTAGGAAATCTATCTGTCCCAAGTTTTGGTTTAAAGGTCTCTCTTTCCCCATGAATACCTAAAACCTGTTCTGCTTCAAGACTTAGCAACGCATCTCTCCTCCTCCAGAATTACAACCACTTTAGCAGAGGGACTAAAAGCTCCGTTCACACGTTTGGTTCTCACTGTCAAGACCTCAAGCATCATGCAGCTACTGCTCAGTCAACAGACAGAGGCAGGACAGAAGGATCCGAATCAAGAACACCTGCCTGTTGCCCAGCCCTGTGAAAAGCACGAATTTCAGGTTCAAAAGAAGTATGAGTCATAGTCCCTGCCCACGAGGAGCTGACAAATTAGCCTAGAAGACAAGACAGAAAGATGAATAATCCATACATATGATAAATATTATAACAGCACTATTTACTCACACAATAAGGTACCAACCTGGGTAACATGTATAATTAGAAAATAGTGCAATAATACTAGGGTACTAACTGTACAACCAACAACTCCCAGAAGAGTTAGAGAAAAAGATCAATATTGACTGGTATTATCAAAGGTCACTATTATTAATATTCCCCCTGCTTGGCATTTAATAGATGTTTCTTTTGGCCAAGCTCAATCCTTAGAAGGGAAACCTAGGAAGGAGCTTCTGACAGGCCACAATTATCTACTCCCCATTCATTCCCTTGCCAGTCCCCTTGCATAAACACTGTGATTTTCCACAGCCTACTGCGCCCACAAGACCGTCCCCAAATGGTAGCCCTGCGCTTTTCACCTTCCCCTACTGCAGGATGTACAAGGGGACAAGTAATAATGACTAGCCCCTCGCTCCACAATCCAGACCTGGGATCAGATCTCAACAAGCAAAAATTTAGCAACTGGTCAACCAAGCTTTCCAAGAGAATTCCAAATAAAATGCCTACGTACTACAGCAGAGACATTTTACAAATGTTAATCAGCCCACTTCTACCTTTTACATCTTTTACCCTATTTCTCCCCAGCTTCTCCATCTTAAGCTTCTCAGACTTTCTATAGGTGACTTTTCTAGAAAATAGATTTTTCAATCATGCAATCAAACCCAATACCCAAAACGCAAGTCACCACTCAGGCACCTGGAAAGAGGAAGTAAAGTGAAGGCTGCACAAGGAGAAAGGAAATAATGAACACTTTACCTCCACCATAAATCGTTCCAAGAAGGAATTCTCTTCAAATGGCTCAGTCTTCAACCGATCTGTAACAAGAAGGGAGACAGAAAGGAAATATGAGTCTTAGAACGAGCTCCCTACCTGTGAGATGGAAAGGAAACAGAGCCTAGTACTTCTTGGGGAAAAGGATAAAGATGCAACATCCAGAGACACCAATCCAGTGGGAGAAGAGCCCAAGCAGGAGGAGGAAAGCGTGATTAGCCATGACAACAGGTTCAGTGGCAGCACGTGCTCTCAAAGGTCTTCCCACCGCAAAGACAGATTGGATTGAATTTTTAATCTGAAGTTGGAGCTATGCAGCCTTCTAAAGCCCCAAGTCATGTTTGCCCTCATGCAATTTTGTATAGCTGTTGGCCCCTTTCCAGAGTCTTTCCTGGCCACTGCCTAGGGCATGTCTGACTCAGTTACGGCATCTCTTAGACACCTAGGCCCCAGCCAGATACTTGAAGCAAAAGAAGTGTCATCTAATCTCCAGTTCCTGGTTAGCACCCAGCACCCAGGGAAGCACCTCTCTAATACAAATGAGTCTCCCCCTTTCCAAAGGCCCTTCAACCACTCCCCATCCAACTCCCAAAGAATGTGATGGGCTTCCCTGGTGGCTCAGTAGTAAAGAGTCTGCCTGTCAATGCAGGAGACACAGGTTTGATCCCTGATCTGGAAATATCCCACATGCCACAGAACAACTAAGCCCGTGTGCCACAACTACTGCCTGCGCTCCAGAGCCCAGGAGCCACAGTTATTAAAGCCCGTGCGCCCCAGAGCCTGTGCTCATCAGCGAGAAGCCACTGCAATGAGAAGCACATGCACCACAACTAGAGAAGAGTCCCCACTTGCTGCAACTAGTGAGTAGCCAACACAACAACAAAGATCCAGCACAGCCAAAAATAAATAAATAAAATTATTTAAAACAAACAAATGAAAAACCCCAAATGATGTCTAAAAGAATGTCCTCTCACCTCGGCTGAGTGTGGCCCCACTCTCCTGGTAGTCCTGGATCTCTAGATCTTTCATATGAAGCAACGTTGTTAGGTCCCTCACCTGGCACTGCAATGCCAGACTCATGCCCATCAGAGGACGAGTCAAATGTTGGGAGACCTTCCATGGAAGAGATACTAATTAGTCAACAGATTCACATTAAGTACTCCCTAATATAAGGTATTAGGAAAAAATGCTAAAAAACAAACAAATGTTTTCACAGGAATTTATATTTTCACAAGCAAGCAACATGTTTACATGAATACAAACACAGATATAATAATTTAATAAGTATGTGAAAGAGGTCCAGGGATTTTCTTTGTGGCACAGATAAGAGGATGGGAAGAATAAACGAGAGCACACATGAATAGACAACCTCGTGATGTAAAGAGAAGGCTGTGATACAGGTGATAGAAGGTAAGCATGGACTCAACTCTCAGGAAAAATTTAGAGACAAAAAAAGAACATCCAGGTAAACTTCAAGAAAGTGAGTGCAGCTAAAACAGAGTATTCTGGCTGGAGTGTAACAGAAGAAAAACAACAGCAGAAAGCAGAGAACTTTGAAAGTCAAATCAGACCCAGACACTAATTATGAACCATTTCAGGGCTGATCAGTTCAGTTCAGTCACTCAGTCATGTCCAACTCTTTGCAACCTCATGGACTGCAGCATGCTAGGCTTCCCTGTTCATCAACAACTCCCGGAGTTTGCTCAAACTCATGTCCATTGAGTTGGTGATGCCATCCAACCATCTCATCCTCTGTCATCCCCTTCTCCTCCTGCCTTCAATCTTTCCCAGCATCAGGGTCAGTTCTTCGGGTCAGGTGGCCAGAGTATTGGAGTTTCAGCTTTAGCATCAGTCCTTCCAATGATTATTCAGGACTGATTTCCTTTAGCATGGACTGGTTTGATCTTCTTGCAGTCTAAGGGACTCTCAAGAGTCTTCTCCAACACCACAGTTCAAAAGCATCAGTTCTTTGGCACTCAGTTTTCTTTATGGTCCAACTCTCACATCCACACATGACTACTGGAAAAACCATAGCTTTGACTAGACAAACCTTTGTCAGCAAAGTAATGTCTCTCCTTTTTAATATGCTATCTAGGTTGGTCATAGTTTTTCTTCCAAGGAGCAAGCATCTTTTAATTTCATGACTGCAGTCACCATCTGCAGTGATTTTGGAGCACAAGAAAATAAGGTCTATTACTGTTTCCATTGTTTCCCCATCTATTTGTCATGAAGTGATGGGACTGGATGCCATGATCTTAGCTTTTTGAATGCTCAGGGCTGATAACAGCCCACAATGAGGCCAGAGTTTCAATCTGTCCTCACAAATGCAGCAAAGTCTAAAATCACTGTTATAGCTGAAGCAAGCCAGTCCGAAAGACCAGCCTAGGAAGGAATAAGCCAGCCCTCCATACAGCTTGCTCTTAACCAGAGGTAAAGAAGGATGCAAGCATGGCCATATGGCAATGCAGCTAGGATGATGCTTATATGATAATGCATAGTTGTACAGAATAACTATTCCATTCACCTACACATGGTATACAATAGCCAGTCCAAAAAAAAAAAAAAAAAGCTAAATTGGATCATTTATGCCTGGGAAGTAGTATGAAAGTTCCTTTTCTTTCCCTCAAGGAGAATTGTTTCTTTTAAGAGGCACTAAGAAGAAATGCCCTAGATCAGAGGTCAGCAAATTTTTTTCTGTAAGGGCAAGATGGTCAATATTTTCAGCTCTGTGGCCCATACAGTCCCTGCCACAATACTCAACTCAGCTGTTGTAGCAAGAAAACCACCATAGACAACATGTAATAAATGGGGGTGGCTGGGTTCCAATGTAACTTTACAAAAACAAGCAGCACGCCAGGTTTGGCCTGCTGACCACAGTATGCCAATCCCTGCTCTAGACCTGAACAGGAGAACTTTTAGATAAGATAGCCCACACAGGCCTGAAGTGAAGAAAAAGTACTGAAGTGGCAAATAAAATGTACAAGCCAGACTCATTTGGACCAGGATCAGAAGTCTGAATTCTTCAGACTCTTCTGTGTGCATTTCCATTAATTTTCTAGTAAAACGTATTACTAAAGACTTCAAGCGTATCACAGTTCAAACTGAGAGGAAGAGATCTTTCACTACAGACAGATTAGAAGAGAAGACACTAGGTGTGTGATACTGTGGGGGAGGTTAGGGGTTAACAGCAACAGCTTTTGTATCAGCACCATGATCCAAGAAATGCAGGGGTAAGAGTGCAGCGTGGGAGGCCAGTAGTCAAGTCTAGCCACAGAGACCAGTCCCTGCTTTCTGTCCCACAGCACACCCCAACCAAGTACTATCTCCCAGCTCAGTCCTTAGTATGAACTTAAACCTCCAGGCAGTACTGTTCAGAGTGTGGCAGAAGTCCTGCTTTTGGCAAATGTATCTGTTCCAGACTCAACCCTCTTTCCTAGGAATTGTTTTAAGTCTGGACACTTTCAAGGGAGACCAGGAGGAAAAAAAGGTGAATACTTATCTGAAAGCAAGTCAATGGTTGGTGAGCTGAATTGAAAATAACTGCCACTGCTAACTGAACGGCGTCACCATCTATTTGGTAGCAGCGCTCAAATAATAGAAACTCCTAAAGTTAATAACCAACCTTTCTCTGGGAGTTACTTTCACAGTAATTCCTTTGAGTGGTAGTAAATAAAACAGCATGAAACGTGATGAGAAACAGCTTTTAATCAATGCCATGTCTAATTAAATGTGATTATTTCAATTATTGATAGGACTCCAATGTCTATATAGCATTTTTTAAAGTTTTTTATCATTGAGTATTTCAGCTTCTGAAATAATTTCACAGAGTTGGGTTACACCACTCTGAATCATTGGAGCATAACTCATTTCGACTTTAGCTGAACCCTGTCTTAGATCAATTAATTAGAATAAGACATTGTGGCTGAAGCAATAGATTTCAAAGCAAATTCACAGACACTACAAGGAAAAATGCTGAAGTGCTATAGGAGGCCAAGGACACTCTTTCCCCTTCATCTACGGACAGCAACATATGGAAAGATGCAGTTCAATAAGTCAATTCAATAAATACCTACCGGGTGTCGAATATGTGCTCTGACCCTGAGAGGCCTCTGCCCTTACAGAGCTCCCAGCAGCTAAGGAAGTCAGGAAGTGTGGTGGATATAGAAGCAGGAGTCGCCAATCTTGTCTAGAGGAAAAGCTATTTATAATTCTCCCCAACGTCTTCAGATTTCCCATAGAAATGTTCATGAGTCAGAAGAGCAGGACAGCAGTTATCAATCCCAAGATGAAACACAGCATGCTTGAATTTAATGAAAAAGGCTGTAGACTGGGAATCAGATTAACACGCTAGCCCTGGTTCTAACTACACCTGGATGTGAAAATGACTTCACCCCCAAGTACTCTCATGGTCCCTGTCTTTTTTAAAAAGAAAAATTACGGAATTGGAATATTTGCTCTCATAGGTACACTTTAATGCTAAGGCCAAGTAATATGACACATATTCTCTTATCTAATCCTCACAACTCCGCAGTAAGGTCATGATTGTTATCTTCATTTACAGATGAAGGGACTGAGTCTCATAAAAATTTAGTAACTTATCCAAGCTGATACAAGTAGTCAAAGTGGTGGAGTTAAGTTACAAGTTCAGGTCTGCTGGTTCCAAACCATGTGCTCCTTCCACTACGAAAAAGAAAAAAAAAAAAACCTTTGGATGTGACTCCTGGGAATCATAAAATTGCCAAAGAGGTGACAAATTTGAAACTCAAAATATGGAATATCAAGAATTACATTAGGGCTTCCCTGGTGGCTCAGTGGTAAAGAATCCACCTGCCAATTCAGGAGAGAATGTGGCAGAGGAGGTGGGGAAGCTCCCTGTATGACGAGGGAAGCTCTCACTCCCTTGTATGACGAAGAGGAGTTAGACTGCATAATCTCTCCAGAAGACAAGACGGCATTATGTTAGCGATTTATTAAACATGCAAATATTCCTTGATTTAGTTATTCCACTTCTAGGAATTTACTCACACATTTACACATAGAAAAAGTAAATACAAGGGTGTTTATTACATACAACAACAAAAGAATGGAAACAGTTTAAGTGTCTACTGGCAGCAGATCAACTAAAGACATGTTGATATATTCATTCATCAAAATGCTATGTGGCCATTAAAAAAATATTAAGGCAGGTCTTCTAAATGTATTACTGTGAATGATTTCCAAGTTCTAAAAGTAAGTGAAAAAAGCAAGGAACTGGACACTATGAACAGCATGTTGACATTTGTGAAAATAATACATATCCAAAGATATGTATCTGACTGTATGAATATATTCATATATATACATATATTCATATATAAGTGCATAGATACATACACACAAACATATACGTAGCTTTCCTTAAGAATTCACAAGTACGTGATAGCAGTAGTTGTTCTAGAAAAGGAAAATGAGGGACTGGGAAGGGAATAGAAAGCAGACCGATTTCTTAACAACATACCCTTAAATGCCATTTGAAGTGTTTGCCTTTGGCATGAGTTACTCATTCAAAAAGAATTAAATAAGAACTATGACAAGAATGAGTAACAAACAAAAATTATGACTGTGTGACCTCACAGACACATACAAGCCTGAAATAGAATCCACCTACATCCTCGCCTGTGTCCACTGGTTCTAAATTTTCCCTTATAAAGCTTTCTCAGGTACAGGGGTTTCCCTGAGATGGCATTCTTCTTCTTTGAATAATATATCTTGAAGCATAATTATTAATAAACTGTTTTCCTCATGGCCAACCAAGACTCATTCGACTCTAAATACTGCTGCCTCTTTTTAAATTGCCGCTCTCCAACTAGAGGGATTTGCCTAGGAGAGCTAAGTGTTCTTAACATATTACTTTCCATTATACTATCATTATACAAGTATCCCTTACTGTATTCTGTTGAAAGAAATAACTATTAGAGCTCATAAGCTTCCAACGAGAACTGCCTCTCCGGTCTCACTTGTCTGAATTTCCAGGGCTGTGTGACACAAAATAAGAGTAGCTATTTCGAGGGCTTCCCCAAGGTTGCCATAATGTTTTGGCGCCACAAGCATTATTGAGGTAACAGTGCCCCCTGGTGTTACTCAGAAAAAGGTACAGGGGTTTTAAACAAAAACATAAATTCTATCTAAAGCAAGGTGGAAATTTTCATAAGCTCAACTAAAATCAACAAATGTGAGTGATTATTACCTGTTAAGCACTGTCAATGAGCCTTAAAAATACAGAGCTTAATGTTCAGTGGTTCTCCAAACACTCAATTCTAGCTTGGGTCAAAAATACCAGATCAAAAACAGAACAGTTTATTGAAAAGCACTTTGTCCCATCACCCTACTGATGCCAAAGCATCACAGCACCTCTGGGAGACTAAAGAAGGAAGGTAGGATACCTTTTTATTCTCATTTAATAAAGAAAAGATATACTTGTGCAGATAAAAAAAAAAAAAAGAAGGAAGGTAGGAAATGATGCCCACTTGTCTTCAGTTCTCTCTGCTGATAAACTACAACCTTCAAACACCCACAGAAGATCCTGTCCTCTAATGCTGAAACAAGCTCTGTTTATATAGAAGGGTAGAAAGACTAGTAGAAGTAATTCCTTCAAACTAGTTCTTCACCCTCAACTAACTAATCACTAATAAAAGTTCTTGGGGAGACGTCCCTGGCCGTTCAGTGGTTAAGACTCCATGCTGCCAATGTACGTGGGTTCAATCCATGGTCGGGGAACTAAGAACCCACATGTCATACAGTGGAGTCAAAAGATAAAAATAAATAAATAAAAGCTCTTGGGACCTAAAGAGCTACAAGTGAGCAGAGGTCATTATCTCCAAAGTCCCTGAAAATGGGTTCATGAAGCAGACCTAGCTGGAAGTCAAATTCCAGCTGATTCATTCATAAACTGGATGACTTTGGACAAATTACCTTGAATCTCAGCTTGCTACTCTGAAAAATGTCAATAATAATACTTACCTTGCAGAACAGTTGTGAGGATTAAAAGGCAAGATAACGTTCAGAAAGGTACTCACCACTGGTAAATACCCTACCCTACTACCAGAGTGATCTTAATAAATCACAAATTGGATCAGGTTACTGCTAGTGCTAAGTCACTTCAGTTGTGTCCGACTCTGTGCGACCCCATCCCTGGGATTCTCCAGGCAAGAACACTGGAGTGGGTTGCCATTTCCTTCTCCAAGGGATCTATTGAACCCAGGTCTCCTGCATTGTAGGCAGACGCTTTACTGTCTGAGCCACCAATAGGCTATATTGTTTTAAATCTGAACACCCAACAATTAGTCCACAGTAGATGCTTAATAAATGTTCAATAAATCAAGTAATGACTAAAGATACCCAGTCAAGCATGTAGACCCAAACTCTGCTTCTTTTGTAAGGAAAAGATATACAGGTCAAGAAACCTTTATGCCTTCTTTCCAGTTAAGAAACGTTTTCTAATTGGAGAATTTCAAATGGGGTTTACAAAGAAAAAAAAATAGTACCAAAAGCTTCAGATGAGAAGCTTTGAGAAGAAGGAGCAGCTGCACCCCTTCCCCTACCCCATGTTCGAACTGCACTTACCAGCGAAGGACTAGCTAGGATGCAGTGGAAATTCCAATAGAATGGGAGGCCAGAAAGCTCACTCCGCACCCGTAATATCAGCGCCTCTGCCACATGATCACAGGAGAACGTAGCCGTGCCAGGGCAAGAAGCATCCTTCAACAAAGGGCGAAGCAGATCATCCAAATGACAAAGAAAAGCCTCAGGAGGAGCAGTCAGGCGCTTGTTCAGCTCCTAAAAAGACAGCATGGGTTGTACAGAGTGAGAGTGCTAAAAGGAAACTGACTCCCTTGTACATGCATGCTAAGTCACTTCAGTCATGTCCGACTCTTTGTGACCCCGCCAGGCTCCTCTGTCCATGGGATTTCCCAGGCAAGAATACTGGAGTGGGTTGCCTTGCCTTCCTCCAGGGGGCCTTCCCAACTCAGGGATTGAACCCAAGTCTCTTGTCTCCTGCATTGGCAGGCAGGTTCTTTACCACTAGCACCACCTGGGACTCCCTCATAGGTAACAGCAAAGGAAAGCTCTGGTTAACAGGAAGACAGTGGGCAGGGGACTTCTCTGGTGGTCTAGTGGGTTAAGAATCCACCTTGCAATGCAGGGTATGCGGGTTCAATCCCTGGTTTGGGAACATCCCGAAACTTGAGGGGCAAGTGAGGGGCCCGTGCTGAGGGGCAACTAAGCCCGTGTGCAGAAACTGCTGAGCCTGTGCACTCTGGAGCCCACACACCGCAACTAGAGAAGACCTCAAGCCAGAATGAAAGATCCCGCATGTCACAACTAAGACCCGATGCAGCAACGTAAATGAAGACATATTTTTAAAAGAGAAGACAGTAAGTAGGAAGAAGAGGAAGGTGAGGGAAAATAAAAACATCAGAACAGGAAAGAAGAAAACAATTCTGACCTACTTCACAATTCTTCCTTCTACTGAATACACTACAGAAATATACCCACACCCACACCCATATGGAAAGATCCCAGGGTTAGAGGAGAAAGTGCAGAACTGGTGGCAATTGTTTTATCCTGATTTGACCTTCCTTGGAAACCTATAGGCCAACAAGCTGGGAGATGGTAAGGTTCCCTGACCTTCACTAGGGAAGAAATTATGTCCACTGCAACCCGCATCAGTACTTCTCTTCACACTTACCTTGGCTCGCTGGCTGATTACACTAGTGTCCACCTGTTCATGCCACACCTGTTGAAGGTCTGAAACCAGCAAGGCATAGCCCTGCCTGGTGATATACGCCTTGACTAGGAGGGAGTTCTCAGCAAGCTGTAGCCATGCCCATGGCTGCATCAGCAGGCCTTGCTCCAGTTCCTCCATCTGCAGCAGAGTCTTAATTTAGCAAAGTGCCTCCAGGGTCCTGCAGGTCTGACACCACTCAGACAGTTTTGTATCAAATATGCTTTGTGAAAATCCTAAGAAAACAGAAGGAATGGATTTACTTTCCTTCCCCTCTCCTCCACCCTCCTGATAAGTAATAAGCTGAACATCAATCTTACTACCTCCTTTCGCTAAAAATCTATCTAGAATTTTGACAGTTTTTTTCTCATAGTAAATTCCTAGAGGATGTAAAATATCTCCTTCTTCTATAGCATTTAAGCCTCAATAAATGAGTACTAGTATTTCTGCTTTCCAATGGTAAAACAATGTGGAAACCTACACCATTCTTGTCACATCTTTATCACATTCCTAATAAATATATCAATGCTATCCTTTCCCAGAATTTCCAAAAGAGAAGAAATTGTTCTTTTTTTATAAAACATCATAAGTGTCATGAGCAGGAAACTCAAATTATTTGATCATTATCTAAAAACAAAACTCTGGAAGCTCTCAGAATTTTAAATATGTGTGTGTGTGTGTGTGTGTGTGTGTGTGTGTGTGTGTGTTTGGTTGCTTAGTCATGTCTGACTCTTTTTGACCCTATGGACTGACTGTAGCCTGCCAGGCTCCTCTGTCCATGGGGATTCTCCAGGCAAGAATACTAGAGGTGTGTATATTCACTAAACATATATATATTCCCTAAATTACTGTATGCATATATATATACATTTATATGTCCCCTAAATACATTTTCCCCTAAATATAGATACATTCTCTAAGACAGGGATTCTTAATCTAGAGTCAATGCATGTAAGTTCTCTGGAATTTTGCTTATAAAAGCAAAATTTGTGCATAAAGGCATATATCCATTTGGAGGGAAGAGGTCCACAGTTATGGTCAAATAAAGAGCTAATAACTCCATGTCCAGAAGCAAAGAGAAAAACCCCAACTCCATTTCAAGAAGACCCTGAATGACTAAGAAGTCAATATAAGATGCAGAACATAGCAAAGGTAGAGACCATGAAATAACTCCACTTCCCTCATCGCCCACCTCCCCTCCCAAGGCACTGCCACCAATGATATCACGCGCTGCTGAACATCCTGGAAGCCAATCTATCCACTTCAGTAACTAAATGTGTAGCCTTAATCTAACAGATATTCAGTAACAATGGCTACTTTATAGGCAGTTATCATTTTTCCTGTGGGTTAAAAAAAAGTGATATAATGAAAGTCTATAAATACAAACTGAAGTAAGTGGAGGCAGATCTTTAAGAATATAAAGATAACAATGAAAATCCTTGGATTTCATTAATATGGTTAACATGGCTCCGTTCTTCCAGTCATTTTCATCTCAACCTAAGCCATTATTCTTCCAACCATAACCTACTGCAGCCTTGTAACATAATTTGTACAGTCACTAGGCAGGTGAAATAGAAATGCACGTATTGTAATTTTTATCTGCAGCCTCAAAACCTTCTGTTTGGAGGATGGTATTTCAGTCACATTTCCCCTGCTGCTCCTACTGGGAGAAGATCTGGGAATGACGAAGCCAGTCCTCACCAGACCACAGTCCCACTTTGCCCAAGATCACACACCTCAAGTCCATCACAAACCGCAAGTCACCAAGCCCTTCTCTCCTTTCCAGGCACTCCCCAGGGTGCACTCTCAGTCACCAAAATTGGGCTGATTATCTGAGCCTGTCACTTCAGAAAGTCTGGATGCTCAAGACACTCACACTATATGGTGTTTTGTGGGCGGGGGAAGAGTTTAAAATGCAGCTGGGGGGGTCAACAAGCCCCCCAAAGAGGTTTGAGCAATTCAGCACTACACCTAGAGTTAGCTGCTCCCACCACACACATCAGTTCTGAGGCCTCAATATCTCAGCTTTTTATTTCCTTCTAGGATGACTTCACATGAACCAGATTCACCCGTTTATTATTCTTTTTTTTTTCTCCTAATAATTTGTTATTGAAGTATAGCTGATTTACAATATTAGCTTCAAGTGTGGTGGCGGTGGTTTCGTCGCGAAGTCGTGTTCGACTCTTGCGACCCCAGGGACTGTAGCCTGCCAGGCTCCTCTGTCCACGAGATTCTCCAGGCAAGAATACTGGAGTGGGTTACCATTTCCTTCTCCAGGGGGTCTTCCCGACCCAGGAATCGAATCCAGGTCTCCAGCATTGCAGGTAGATTCTTTACCTACTGAGCTATGAGGGAAGTCAAGTGTACACCTGTTATAATTACTGAATGAAGGAAGTGGAAGTCCGGAGGGCCAACAGCGGAGTGGGGTCGCCTAAGGCGGGTCGGCATGAGCCCCTCTAAGCGCAGTTCCTCCGCCATCCTGCAGAGGGCAGCAGAACGCCAACGACCGTCCGGGCTAGACCCCGCCCCGCCTCACCCTTCGGGGAGAGGGCGGACCCTGCCTCACTTTACCACAGCCCCACCCCAGGAGCCCCGCCTGGTGGCAGCCAGTTTCCATTCGCCCTCGCTAGAAAGGCCTTCCAGTCCGCGTTTCTATTTTTACAGAGCCGGCTGCGTGAGGCATGGCTCCCGACTCCCCAATGAGCAACAAGGCCAAAAACCGGCTGCCTCCTCGCAGCAAATTGCCGGCTAGGAGTACCTCCACAAACCCCGCCCCGCTGCTGGGAGGCGAGCTGCGCACGCGCGGCCTCCGCCACCCACCCGCCCATCCCCGGAGGCCTGGCCCAGAACCTTGGCCGCGCGCTGGTACCTCCAGGCAGGACACTTGGGGGAAGGAGGCGCTATTGCCAGGACCAGCCCGCAGGGCCCGAGAAAGTCTCTCACTTCCTGGCCCCGGCCCTGGCCCGGATTAGAGCTCGACCCCACCTACCGTGAGCGGCCGGGAGAGCTCTCACCCTCCCCGCGGCAGGCTGGCCCGCCCGCGCCAACGAAAAGGCCTAGAGTAGAAGCATTTCCCACCCCCACTACAGGGAGGTGGGGTCTTGGGACACTGGGGCGGAGCTCAGGCCTGATGTGGGCGGGACATCTGGGCCCCAGGAGCTGATAACTGGAGTTCTCCGAGCGGAGGGCTACCGGTGCCCGAAGGGCGCCCTGGTAGGGAGGTGGAAGGATAAAGGCACTCCTTAGAGTTGCCCAGCTTCCCTGGCGGCTCAGACAGTAAAGAATTGGCCTGCAATGCGGGAGACCAGGGTTGGGAAGACGCATCCCCTGGAGGAGGGCATGGCAACCCACTCCGGTATCCTCGCTTGGAGAATCCCCATGGACAGAGGAACCTGGCTGGACACAGTCCATAGGGTCGCAAAGAGTAGGACACGACTGAGCGACTAAGCACAGCACAGAAGAGTTGCCCTGGCAGAGTAGAAAGAACGCCAGACGAAATGCAGGAGGGGACCACGAATTTGGACTTGAAAAACCGAAAGTCAAATTTCCATACCCTACCGTTTTTTACTGTTTTGTTTTTAAATAAAATGAGGGGCTTGAACTTCACTAGATATTCTCTCTTGGGTCCCACCAGCACGCGAGTTAAGAGATGAGTTTCCCAGGCATACTTCCCCTGGTCTGACCTTATCTTGTACCTCTCCTGCCTCCTTTCTCCCTCCATCCACGGCCATACTTATGCTCCATCACCAATCCAACTCATCTTGTACCTTGTGTAACTTAGTTTCACTCCATCTGGACACCCTAGTCTGAAAAATTCTCCTCATCCATGTTCCACAACCCAAAGTCCTCTTGTTAAGGCCAGCCCCAGTGCTGCTTCTATGTAAAGTCCTTCCCACTGTCCTCAATCAGAATTCATTATTTCTTCCTCTCTGCTCCCATTTTTTTTTTTTTTTTTCAGTTCAGTCGCTCAGTCATGTCCAACCCTTTGCAACTGCATGAACCTCAGCACGCCAGGCCTCCCTGTCCATCACCAACTCCCGGAGTCCACCCAAACCCATGTCCATTGTGTTGGTGATGCCATCCAACCATCTCATCCTCTGTTTCCTCTTCTCCTCCTGCCCTCAATCTTTCCCAGCATCAGGGTCTTTTCAAATGAGTCAGCTCTCCGCATCAGGTGGCCCAAGTATTGGAGTTTCAGCTTCAACATCAGTTCCTCCAATGAATACCCAGGACTAATCTCCTTAGGATAGACTGGTTGGATCTCCTTGCAGTCCAAAGGACTCTCAAGAGTCTTCTCCAACACCACAGTTCAAAAGCATCAATTCTGCGCTCAGTTTTCTTTATAGTCCAACTCTCACATACATACATGACTACTGTAAAAACCATAGCTCCCATAGCATTCTTTTAATCTTTATTGAAGACTGACTTCCACTTTGGATTTTAGTTAGTAATTACATGTCTTTTATTGTTATTGTTTTGATGCACCATGAAGCTTATGGGATCTTAGTAGTTCCCCCACCAGGGATCAAATCCATACCCCTTGCATTGGAAACTCGGAGTCTTAACCACTGGACCGCCAAGGAAGTCCAGTAATTATATGTCTTTTTAAATCGTAAGTGTTTGAGAGGGGAGGGACCATGTCTTATCCATATCTGTATTTCCAGGACCTTACACATAGGAGATACTCAATAAATATCAGTTAAGTGAATGCTAGGGTTCGAGTATAGATCATTCACAGGCAAAATACCACTCATTCATTCACAGCCCCTGCTCTGGAACAGGCCTAACTAAGAAAGGAAAAGGCAAACACATTTATTGGGAAGTGAGACTTTTGGGGAGCCCATGTGAGACACACACGTACATCCTCTCCCTGGGAGAAAGTGGAGCCTGCAATCTGGTTCTCCAGCAAACTGGGAGGTAGGATTAAACTAACCAGAGTAGGAGTCCTAGTAATTACTGGGACTCTCCTCTGCTAGGCTGAGGGCACTGGTCCCCAAAGTCAGGCAGCAAGTCAGCTGTCTCTCCAGGCTCAGAGGGCCCTCTTTCCTCATTCCCAGAGTCTTGGGGCAGCGGGCAGAGGCAACGGAGGTGTTGGTGAATGCAGGGACACAGGTTTTGGATGGAGAAAGGAAGCTCGTACTCTTGATCTGCCCTCTCCTTAGACTTCTGAGGCATCGGAGCCTCTCGGGCAGTGAAAGGAGGTGGCAGCCCTTGCCCTAGACCTCGCTCAAGCCGTGTGCCTGCAAAAGACAAAGTGGTCAGGTCATTGCCCAACCCAGGGAGTGATGACTTCCTGGCCACTCCCCAGTCTATTGGGGCCTGGCCTCAACTTACCAGGAATGGTGTTCTCTAGGAGGAAGCCCAAGAGTCCCGCCAGGAAGATGGGCTCTGTGAGCAGTGAGTGCAGTAGCACATCCAAGGGGCTCCAGCCTACAAGGGGTTAGGACCAGGCAGGAGGGGGACTCTGATGCTATGCAAAACCAAGGGTCTTATACTTCCAGCCTAAGCTTAAGTACTGGATGGAGGACAGGTCTTTCTGAATTGTTCTATCTCCCCCTCCCTACTTTGTCCCTCTGCTCTCTATTTCCCACATCCAGACCCTTCCCACAGGACCCCTGCTTAACACCCTATCTTCTGAGCATCCACATGCCTTCCAGATATGCTTTGATCATTCCAGGCTCCCTGTCTTTGGAAAGTTTGGTATTAAAATCCCCAGCCTTATTTCCTACTTCTCACTTTCTATGCTCTAGCCTGAGTTCCTCAACTTCAGAACTACTGACATTTTGGACCAGATACTTCTCTGTTTGAGAGAGGCTGTCCTGGGCACTATAGGATGTGTAGCAGCATCTTTGTAACCACTAAATGCAAGTAACCTCTCCCCTGCTTGTAACAACCAAAAATGTCTCCAGACATTGGCAAATGTTCTGTGTGGGGCAAAACCATCCTCAGTTAAAATCACGGCTGTTTGCTGAGCTGAGCTAACAAACTAAGTTATTTGCTGCTCCTGGGTCTTATGCTATGATTTCCTACTTCCTTGGTAGGTAATGACCTTCTCATCAAATACGTTTCAATCTTACCATCCTTCAAGACCAACTCAATGTTACTTTCTCCATAAAAGTTACCCGGTTCATCTCCAAAAGAAGCCATCTCTCTCACTGCAGAGCATCACAGCTCTTTATCTGAACATTTCTAGTTACATTTCTACACATCTCATCTCTTTTACTAGACTGTAAATCTATAGGCACCTTTGTATCCCAAGGAAGCTAGCATGGTGTTCAGTAAATACTTGCTAAACAAATGGACAGACTATTTATCCCCAAGCCCAGAGAAGGGTGTGGGGCCTGGAGGCCAGAGAAACTCAAGCCTTGAGCCCTTGCTTGCCCACTGCCAGGCAACTCCTCTGTCCCTCCCCCTCCTCCCACCTGTGCTCAGTAGGACCGGAGCTTCCCGAAACCACCTCGGCAGCAACAGGGCCGTGAAGATGGAGAAGCCAACAATGAAGACATTCCTCCCAGAGTCAATGTCAGCCAAGTGGAAGCTGGAGAATCCAGTAGACAGAACCACGGCCTGGGTCACCCCCAGCACCCCACCTGTCTCATCCGGAAGTAATCAAAGAGGTTGGGAGAGGGCTGGCACAGCAGAGTACTTACTATAGGGTGGGACAGGTTGTGAGGGGCAGAGACCACCAAAAAGCCCAGGAGACCAGAAGCCCAGTCAGGAGGCTGAGATGTGACTGAGAAAATGAGGGCAGCTGCCATATACTCACAGCCATATGCTAGGGAGGCTTCTCAGAAAGAAAGGGTGTCACCCACAAGCAACCAGCTGGGCCCTGCTGAGGGATCCCGGTTCAATACCAGTGCTGCCGAGACATCCGCTCATCAAGAACAGGCCCACTCACCAAGCACAGGCAGCGGGATGGTGGTGAGGAACTGGGCTAGCCTTGGGGAGAGCCCCAGCGCCACGCAGAACAGCCCCACCAAGTAGGCCACTCGCCGAGGTCCAGCCTACGTGATGAAGAGACACTGGAACACACCTCCTCGACCACTCAAGCCTTTTGCTTGGCCAGCCCCATCTCATCCTTTGGATCCCAACTAAAATGTTACTCTCCCAAAAAGCATCCTAAAGGGCTCTCTCTTACTCAACCCGCTTCCCAGCCCCTGCTTTGTTTTCTTAATAGCACTTATCACTTTCGGAAATTATCTTATTTGCTTTTCTCCTAACGTGTCCGCCTCTCTCTTTCTTAAAGTCCTCAAGAGAACAGGGACTTATCTGACTCCTTTCTCTCTAGAACCTCAGCCCTGGTACAAATGCCTAAGGCACAGAAGGAGCTCAGTAGTGATTTAGTGTCTCCCTCACACTCCTAGTCCCCACAACTTCTAAGCACCTCTCTCAATGAGATGGCCGCTGTGAAGAGCCTGACAGAGGGCTGGGCACAGCAAGCCATCGGTTCCCTTCCCTCTCTTGCACCTCCAGCTCCTCTCCCCACACCCCTGTTCACATACCTGGAGAAGACCCACTGTGCCCACATTGGGGAAGCTGGATGCAGTGCCCATGGGGCTTCCCAACAGCCCAGCCAGCACACTGCCCAGTCCCTCCAGGCTCAGCCCTCGGCTACAGGCGTGTGGAGGTGGAGAAGGCAAATGCAGCAGCTGGCCACAGAGGGCGTAGCAGCCCAGGGAGCTGGTGGAGGCTGCCAAGGCCATGGAGATGCCTGCAGCCAGAGCCCTGGGTGTCAGCAAGGGCCAGTCCCACTCAGCTGGGGAGGGAGAAGGAGCCACTTTGGGGCCAGACTCAAGTCTGAAGCATTCCCCTGCCTAAAGCCTGTGACACAAGAAGCCTAAAGGCCCCATTGTCTTTGAAGATAATGTCTTGGGACAAAACCATCAAACTCAAGGTAAAAACCCATTCATTCCTTTACTGCGATCTACAAGGTCCCTTTGGTCTGACCCTTACCTCTTTCTCTAGCCTCATTTACAACCACACTCTTCATCATTTCTTTCACTCCAGATACACTGGCCTTTGTTTCAGGCCTTTGTACTTGCTGTGCTGCAGGCCACCACAGGGCCTTTGCGTATGT